GCACTCTCAGATGAAGCAATAAAAAATTTGCATGCAAATTCTCCATTTATGAATGAAGGGGGTATCTTCGTGTTCAGTTCACTCAGTAGATTCCACTAAAACACGAAATTCATCAAATTTCAGACCCTTGCAAATTCCCCATTACTGTAATTTTCAAAAGAAAATATGCTTGTGTTACAGCCGAAGAGGTCCAAGGCGAGTGGAAGCGGTTACAACAGGCGAGGAGGGCGGCTCAATGGCGGCGGTCGTATACGCCTCAAGAAAAAAAGTGGAAGTATGAGGAAGATATGTCGTTTCTTGGAGACATCTCGTAAGTATCTTGGATTCGTTTAATTCCTCTTCTTATCCTTCTTCATATTCTTCTTCTTTCTGCTTACTTTCCGTCTTTATCTTACAGCCCGAAGCTAATCATCATCATCATCATCATCATCATCATCATCATCATCATCATCATCAATATAAGCTTCGAAGGATTCAGACTTTTAGTCTAGAGTACCTGTATAGGAAGAGTAGCGACAGATCGGTTCATGGAGGGCTTAGGGCCCAAAAGTGCAGCCACCCTTCTGAGCAACTTCTAACACACAAAATTTCACTGCCAGCCTACAGATTTCAATTCTAACCAAGATGGCTAAGAATGTACATAAATGAGCGTTCTTTCGCAAATATAAGTAAATTTATGCAAAAAGTAAACCAAATACATGCTTTCTAAACGACGGTTCGTAACAATTGTATTTGTAAATCGCTCTGGACATTCGAAATTCATAGGTTGGCTGCCCTTTTGGGCCCTAACTTTATTCGCGGAGGCATCGGTGAAGGCCTGATGGACTTTCGGAGTTTCAGATCTGTCGCTACTCTCCCTATACAGGTACTCTATTTTAGTCTATTCCACCTTTTTCCATTTCACTCAAGAGTTTGCCAGATTGTGCGATAAATGTGAATATTTTACATGGATTTGCACCGGAAAATGTGCTGAAAAAGCAACTTCTCTGACAACAGTAGAGTCCGAGAGGGATGAGAGGTTGTCTTCATGGGAAACCCCATGATTTAGCCGGAAATGTCACTAAAACAAATTGGTTCCGTTTGAAGCATCAGATGTATACCAGGGAAAGCTATTTTAAAATAATAATTGCAAATGGGCTCAGATGCTACAGAAAAGAAAAAAATTAAAGGAAAAGGAAATGAAACAAGGATATAAATACTTGTGTGCAATCAGAGAGAATAAAACAAAAACATTAGAGAAATTTATATGCCATGAAAGTATATATAAAATAAAAAAAAACACACAAGTGAGCTCATAGCGATTCTGAACTCAAACTTTAGTATCGTTGAGCAGTTTTTAGACCCCTACGCCAGCGGTAATTTTCTTAGGAAGTAAAGATGAACTTTTGCTACTTCAGCGAGCCGAATCGCGGTAGGAGACCCACGGATTGTCACTTTCTTCCACCCGTTGGGACTGACGTCCCAGGCAAATGTGTTTTTGAAGAAATGGTCGATCCCCATCGTTGCTTTATTTCCACATATCTATTCATGTGCAAATGATGGCACGCTCCAGTAACAAGGTTCTGTGACAAAATCATTTTTGTCTTGAGAGTCTCCAAAAAGTATACATCATAGGTAATGATTAAATGGACTGCATTTTGCAATTTGGAACTATAAATTTCGGCCCGGTTTAAAAATTACGTATGTGCCATTCGTTTCCCTATGCACAAAAGTGTTTTTCCGGAAGAGCCAGAGTTTATAGTTCCAAATTGCAAAATGCAGTCCAAATGTCCAATCACTCAGAGAAATGGCACGCGGAGCGATCCAAATGTCACTCGCGTAGTGAGTGACCAGGGGTCCAGGGAGCGCAGCCTCTTAGCGTCTAGAATATTAAAGTGGCCCATATTTCAACTCTATGATTTTCTAATCTAGGTATAACATTAATTAATTGTCCTCGTAAGTCAGGGGCGCTCAGTGGGCGGATTTTTTGAGGGGCTACTTCTCAACTTTCGAATTGGGGAAGGGTCTTTTTCTTTGGAACTCGATAGTTCATATTTTGTAGTCCTGCTCCTCACAGAAATCCCCCCTCTTCTTTGAAATTGTTCAACCCCCACAATAAAGTGTCCCTAATAAAAAAAAAATTCATTATGTCCCCTTCCTAGACGTTCAGTATTAACCGAGATATCGCGCTTTGAAAAATTCGGTTTGTGACGTTACATCCACCGCGGCAGTGACGCCATTGGTTTCTTCCATCTAGCTCCCATTAATCAGAGAGACGTACAATTGCACTGGTTACTCAACGTGGAACTCGAATGAAAGCTAGATGGAAGAAACCAAGGGTGGCACTACCACGGCGGGTGACGTCATAAACCGCATTTTTCAAAGCGCGATGTCTCTGTTAATATTGAGCGTAGGAAGCTGCTGTTTAAACAGTTCTCATTATTTTTACCTAATCTACAAGAATCAAGCATCAAATCATGACTCTGCGACCAGCGCAACTGAATCATCGTAAAAATCGTATTATGTTTTGCTCTTACTGTCCTGAAATGTGTGCTGCATCTAATTGGCGTTTAATTTAAACGCCAAAACGGATTAAAACGTCCTAGAGCTTCAGGCAAAAATTTTGGCCATTCAGCTATTAATCTAAATTTCCGAGCGTTCTGTGTATAAAACTAAATTCCAGGCATGTGTCTGACGCATGGGTTGTTCTCAATGACTAATTTGACCGCGTTAATTTTTTTTTTTTTTTTTTTCTGAGCGAAAAGTTTAAATTTAGTGTTTATAATGTACCTAAACTAAAAATGTTCTTTCCTCTCCAGGGAGTTGATTGTTAATAAGGAAGTTTTCGATGTGCTCATATGCAACTCATTCTGCAGGAAATTCCGTTCAGGAAACAAGTATTTCAGAGGTCTAATTATTCTCACATCGTCTCGCAGTCTTTTCTGCAACAGTCCTATGACAATTCAGGCAGATGTTTTTAATGTCTAATGTTTCTTTTTCGACGAGGGTCATTATTTTTCATTTTTATTTCTTTCAGAATAAGGAACAAGAACTCACAACCAATCGTGCCGCTAGTGAGATTAAACATTGAGGGGACCGAGGCCGTTACCAGCGGTGAAAATAGTGCCAGCACCAGCACCAGCGGTGACACCAGTGCCGCCAGTGCCGCCAGTGCCAGCGGCGACACCAATGCTGGTAGCAGTGCTGGTAGCATTTTCATAAAAAAAGAAGTCAATCCTGATGTAAATAATCAATCAATAATCATCCTTGATGATGATTGTGATGATATCGAGGTCGAGGCAGAAATGATGAGGATTGTGAACAAAAAGCTTGGTCTCATAAGAGCAGTGCGAGACACGCTGAGAACTGAGCAGCGAGAGGAATTTGTAAGGGGATTGGATCCCATGTTGAGCGATGCGATTTGTCACTACTTCCGCAAATTTTGTTGATTTGTGAGAGTTTTCTAGGTGCTTATAGTTAGATTCGGGTTGAAAAACCCCCGTTCTTTTAACTTAGAATTTTACTTCAAATTTTACTAAGCTTGAGAAATTAATTAAGCGGCCTAGAGAGCTAGGCACATGAGGGCAGTTTTTTAAAAAAATTGATATATTTTTGATTTCCAGTGAACATAGTCTGAATGCATATTCTGTGTAAATTCCGCTCCCACACTCCAATTTGTAAGCATGGAAAAGTCAGTTTAAACTTCCTTTCCGCCATGAGCATCCATGTAGTTTCGAAACTTCAAACAAGTATGTCTTGAAATAACAAAAACTGCACTTATTCGCCTTGTCCTCTAAGCCCCTCAATTTAGGGCACATAACGATTGTACCAATCTCATTTTACTGAACGAAGTTTCAAAAGAAGTTTTGATACTTATTTTTAATTTTATAGAAGACAACAGCAGCTGAAAATGAAAGGTGGAGGATTAATTTACGGGTTCCATTTCATTAGTGAATGAATAATGCATTGTGAGTTATCCCATGTGTTATAAAAAACATTAGAACTTGTAGATCTTTACTCTAGTGTCACTTGAACAGTGCGAACATGCTTTACTTGTTTGCAGATAAAAATTTGTTCTGTTTTCGGGTCGGTCAATGTTTTACAGGGATGATGAAATATTTTTCTTCATGAGAAGGTAATGAGAGGGAAGTGAAATTTGTAGAAGAAAAACAAATGATAGCTTTCTTTATTTAAACCATAAACACAAAATATAAGAAATATTCTTAGTCTCACAATAAAATATGATCTTCAATGTAAATACATTTCTATACCATGCTAAGTGCGTAGTAACTTTGAATATATAATGCATAACCGCAAACCGATGATGACTCCCAAACCACGCGCCTCATTGGCTGTAGGCCCCCGCAGGGATTAAAACCATTAAACCAACAGAAAAAAACCACGTACCTCGGTTTGAGACATTGCAGACTTCCTGTATTACTTTATTTTTAAAAGACTAATAACTACTCTGCCGTGCTAAGGAAGAACGCCGTTTAAACATTCGAGAGTTGCAAAATTTCCTTCGATAAAACATGTACTTTTGACGAAATTCTATGTATATTTTTCCTCAAAATTTTCAGACAGGTATTTTAGATTAAATTGCGAGCAAAATACTTTGAAAATTTTGAAGAAAGATATTTACAACTTTCCCAATGAATTCGTGTTTTATCAGAGGAAATTTGGCAACGCCTAAAGGTTTATACGGCGTTCTTCCTTAGCACGGTATAGTACCTACTCAGCGTCAATCCTTAAAAACGCTCATAATTTTTCTTCTCTGTGCGAGGCACATTTTAAGCGAACTTCAAGTTGGATTGATGTTGATTTGTTCTCCTTTGAAAAAGTAAAACAGGGGTAGAAATTTTTGAACACTGCCCACGAGAAACGTGATTTAGGAGTTTTACCGTCGATATAATCATTCAATAAGACAAAAAGGAGTGAAGAAAATGGCTTAGGATTTATAATTAAACCGTTTGAAAAAATTAAATGTATAAACTCAAAGTGTTGGTCGCTCGCCATTTTGATAACGAACATTTTGGTGTGAATACGAATACTTTTCTTTTTCTAGGATCTGAAAATCTGAAAAAGCAAGTAATCATAATCCTCTCAAGACAAACACTCACTAACTTAGGTGTTCAATCTACTTAAACTATTAATACTTCTCTTGATAAGACTTTTTTTAAATGATAAATTTCTTGTTTTGATTTATCTCCTGCGAGATTTTGATTGGCTGCGCTTTCCGCTAATATTAAATTAGATAATTTGAACGCACACTTAACTCATTATCATGCTTCTTCCTCAATCATACCTATATCTTTTCGCCTTATTTTCGAAATTAATTTGAAATCTTCCAAATTCCTTATAGCAAATTTTGCCTTGGAAGAGCAAGAGAATAGAAAAAATCTGATTTGAAATTTTACACACATTATGTATTCGGAGTTATTTTCCATCCTCTATTGTTCAACATTATAGAAACTTATTCATAGCAAGTGAGCTAACGTTATAGAAACTTAATGATAACAAGTGAGCTTAATGTATCACGTACATAAGTTATCTTCACTTTATTATGCTTGATCATCTGCAGAAACAGAGATCTAGAAGATCTTACAAACTCAAAATCGCGTCACAGGTATCTAGGGGCAAAGGGCGTGTATAGAGGGAGAATTAGGTTATACATAGGGGACCTGGTCTGGAAGGGTTGATGGCTCCTCTTGAAAAATTGTCATTTTATGGAGCCGTTCAATATTAACTTTCACCTTTCACGACAGTGCACTGGAAAAAAAAGATAAGAAGAATTTACCATTCCTTCACGCTGTATTTCACACAGCGTTAATACAGAGTCAATTCTGCCAGAAAAAAGGTAAACGTTAACTGGTACAGGTGACCATTCACTCTGGTATAATCGACTTTGAATACACGCTGTGTGAAATACAGCGGTAAGGAATAGTAAATTCTACCAATCTTTTTTTTTTCAGTGTAAACCCTCGTGAAAGGTGAATGGCCCTTGACCACCCCCCCCCTTCGCTTTCCTATCCAATGGTGTGAAAGTTACGTTCAGTAGTCATAGTTAACGCTTTGATCCGCTCAAGAATGACCGAAGACTAAAGTGTTGAGAAATTTATTTAGTAGAAAACCCTTCGTAAAAATTCGCAAAAACTTGCCGGCAAAGTGCTCAGCACCGAGGCAATATAATTTAAAGACCTCTCTTTGCTATCCTCTCTTTTGTATTTAGGTTACTTTAAGTAGGCAACGCTCAGGTTGGCCTAATGTTGACCGATGACCGTAAAAGTTGAATAATCAAACCTGACAAAAGTTGCAAAAACTCGCTTGGCTAAGTATTCACCTCAAATTGTTACTCAGTAATCATTCAACGGAAAGTATAGCATTGATTTCCAAAATAAAGACAATACAACAATGTATTGTACAACTGTGTATTGTGTATGTATGTAACAATGTATCGTTAGTTTCAATTATAATTATTATGATCAAAGTTAAAATTACATGAAGAATATTTTCTGTAATTGAGAGATACACTACTTCTTTATTTATATAAATGATCCAGAATATCTTGTTACCTAACATTGTATTGTTACAATGTGTTAACATATTGTGTTGTTGTGTGTTGTACATATGGCATAAATGCGAATATATAATTTTCTTAATTTTTGATTTTGATCTTCTTTTGTTCCTTTTATAATTAAAAATGCTTCATTTAAATTAATAATCATCATCATTTTTAAAGAATAAATGACTGTTTCAGCGGCTTAGAGGACAAGGCGCATAAGTGCAGGTTCTGCTGTGTCGAGAAAAACGCGTTTGAAGCTTCGAAATTTCACGGATCCTTACGGCGGAGAGAAAGTTCAAACTGACTTGTTCGTGCTTAAAATTGAAATTTGGGAGCGAATTTTTCACAGAATATGTATTAAGATTAGTTTTACTTGAAATCATTAATACCTCAATTTTTTCAAAAACTGCACTTAAGCACTGAACAAATTAGTTCTGTTCACAGGGTTCAAACGCTTTCTTTGTTAAAGCCACAGAGCTTTCCGTTATAAGGACAGTGTTCTCTGTGCTCACGACCGAAGTTCTGTTCTCACAACAGAAAAGTTCCGTACGCATAACAAAGAAAGTGCAAGAGCCCTGTGAACAGGAGGTTCTATCATCAGCACCGACTATTTTTTTTGCGTGTGCATCTTGCCCTCCAAGCCTCTCCTATTTTAGAAACCCTGCAATAACAATCGGAGGAGAAATTTAAATTTAGAGGTCAACGATACTTTACACTTCATGATGATGGATGAGCAATTTGTTGAGAATAACATCAAATAAAATTTGTCAAATGATGACTGATGAAGTTACTTTGCTGGGCGAGTTCTTGCAAATTCGGCAGGATTGCTAAACCAATGGCTCAGCTCCATGTTCGTGCGACATCGCCAAGCGTATCTGAGTGGTGATTTTTGAGATGAGACATATCAGAACTTATATTCTAAAGGGAAGATTGTGCGTCAGGGCGTCTGTAAGATATATTCTTTCTGTTCTGAACTTATCCTTGTCCTCGACCAATTACATTCTTCCGATTGTTAGTGCACGCGGGGTCTCTGAAATATAATGTTTCAGAAAGTTATTTGAAATTGGAATCTGTAATTTTTGAGGGGGGAAAATTGTCGGACTAAAATGCAGTTTTAAGTCTTGAATTTTCAAAAAAAAACCCAAAAAACTAAACTGCTCTTCGGAGCGAGGAGTCTCCGAATCAAACACGAGCCGCAACTATTCAGTCATAGCGGTAACCCCCGGTGGTATCTCTCTTTTTTGAAGGCGCCCGGTGGCGCTGCGTCAAGCCAACACTAGGAGCGAATGTTCTCCATATGAGTCGAAATGCCCGGATTCCCACCCTTGAAAATAATAATAACACAACACACATTTTAAACTAAAGAATTTCGTCGTTAGGAAGACCCACTTCAGATTTAAGTTAAAATATCGACGGCGCAAGTCCGCAATCACATATCTCGTTTGAGGTGTCCGAAAATCTCCGCCTCTATGATATTTTTTTAGAGGAGAACAAATCAACATCATTCCCTGGAGTTTTTGCAGAATTTTCTTCGCACAGAGAAGAAAAATCACAGCAGTTTTAAAAGAATTGCCGTCGAGTAGTTTTCTGTTTAAAAAATAAAGTATGACAGGAAGTCTACGACGCGACGTCGCGAACCGAGTCACGTGATTGCCGAATTACACCGTCGATATGCCTTTCACTGATCATTGATTTTTAATAATCATAGACGTTTCATAATTCATACGTTTTGATTGACGAACGATCTTATTATTCATCCTCGTTGATGGATGATCCTCGGGAAAATGTTCTCATTTTTTTTGAAAAAAAAAAGTATACACGCTCTCTTCGCGGTAAGCATTTTACAAGTTGTCGTCTCCGAGACATTTTGGAAGAGACCTAGACGTGGATGAAGTGGGCGTGCCTCTTTTTGCACTTCTCTCTTATGATGATACAAAGCCCGATCGTGATGAGGATGACAATGGCGATGCTCATCCCAATGCTGATCCATATGATCTCCTCGTTGATGCCCGAGAAACTCGCGCCTGCAACAGAAGAGTGTAACAAATAGCACGTATTTTAAGGAAAGCAAATGCATGTATTTTGATGAAACTTTTGCTGAACGGTCTTAATGGTTTCACAACGTTCTCATCAGGGGCGTAGCTAGGAAATTTCTCTGGGGGGGGGGGGGGG